AAGAAAAGAAACCCCAGGCTACACAGCGAGCAGCAGCTACCCAACTACGAGAGCAGCACCCTTCAGAAACATCGAAAGAGATCTGCTGGACTGACTCTTGGAGAACACGACTGCTTCCATATGTACCCCTGGTAACGTAGAATTTTAAGTAAACACTATTTCTTTGCGATCTATCTCTGTGTGTATAATATTTTTTGCATCATTTATTTACGATTTTTCTACGAATTTTTCCCATTCAACGTATTTTTCTCAAGTGATTTTTCCATTTCTATACCCCTATTTTTGCACATTTGCCTTTTTTCTAGTGACGTTTTTGTGTTTTTCCTGAAAACAATATTTCCATAAAACATTCGCAATGTCCACTCACGAGTCAGAAGACTGCCAATCCCCAGAAATTTCTGATAACGCTCATGCGAATCTTGAACCATACCTACTATCAGAAACCTTTTCCATTGTGCCGGAATATGACGGTAACCCAATATTGCTTTCCACATTTATCAACGCCTGTCGCACTGCCTATCAAATGTTCTGCATATTAAAAATAAATTACGTGGACGAGCCACCGAGCTAGTCAATTCACGCAACCCATCGACCTGGGAAGATATTCGGTCACCTTTAGAAACGCATTTTGGAGATCTCCGAGATCTTACTTCCTTGATCGCTGATTTACAGCACCTTAGACAACTCCCTTACGAATCCCCACTTACTTTTGCGTCAAGGTTGCAAATGCACGCAGCCAAAATGCATTCCGCCGTGAATCGCCAAACTCTGGACCGACAGCAGAAAACTGCTCAGAGTTCCCTAATCGAGACTATGACCCTTAACTGTCTTTTGACAGGCCTCGATTCAAAAATTCGGACCAGTCGTAAGATCTGGTCACCCTACAGATATTCTAACCGCCGTAGCTTTCATAAAACGCGAACTGCAACTATCTTACTTAAAGAGACAGAAATTTTCGAGAAATCCAGAACTCCAATCAAAATTCTACCCTTTGAAAACACACTCCGAAAGTATGCAACTATTGTCATAGACCAGGACATTTAGCTAATGAATGTCAGCGCAGACAACAGTCTTTCAACAACTTTTCGAGACCAACGTATCAACCCCAGTCATTTTCATAAAACATTCCTAGGCCTAATCCACCTATGCAAGGCAATAGACCTGGCAATGGTAGTAATCGGTACCCTCCAAGACCTCCGGTTATAAGGCCGAACGTGCCCAACACGAGTGCCCTCAGACCATCTGTTATACAACAGAACCATTACTTCTCAAACCAAAATTTCCAAAGAAACTTTAAGCAGAACCCTCAAAATCGCATTAATTACGTCGCTCCCGATTCATACGAACATTCCGAGTACAGCGAACCTGATCTGTACAACACTGACTATGCCAGTGAATACTATGATACCCAATACCCTGCATATACACCTACACCTTATGATGAATTCTCTAACCCAATTTATAACAACGAGTTTTGTTATGAGGACGATCGTTCTGTCGAGACGTACTACGACGAAATGTTCCCAGAGTGCGTGGTCAGCACTAGTGTGGGTCGTCCCAAAGAAAATAGACCTCTCAGGAAAACAAAAATGGCGTATGGTGATTGATTATCGTAAATTCAACGAAATCATCATAGACGACAAATACCCCTGCCAAACATTTCCGATCTGCTTGATCACTTAGGGAAATGCCAGTATTTTAGTACGCTGGACTTGGCATCTGGAATTCATCAGATCGAGATAGATCCAGTTAATGTCCCGAAAACTGCCTTCTCTGTAGAGAATGGACATTATCACTTCTTGAGAAAGACTTTTGGACTCAAGAACGCTCCAGCCACGTTCAAACGTATGATGGACAATATCCTGATGGGTATACAAAACGAAAGGTGTCTTATATGCATGGACGGCATAATCGTCTATTCCACCTCCATTCAGGCGACTCTCCGAAATTTTTGACTGTCTTCGGAAATCTAATTTCAAAATCCAGCCAAATAAGTGCAAATTGCTCAGAATGGAAGTAGCCTATCTTGGATACGTTATAATCCCAGATGGCGTTAAGCCCCAGCCAATGAATCCTAAAGGGATAAAGTCCTTTTTAGGCCTCGACTTCGATAGCGAATGTGTCACGTCATTCGAATCCTTGAAAAACGCTTTAATTTCGTCCCCGATCCTAATTCATCCCAATTTTGAAGAGCCATTTGTACTCACAACAGAGCGCCTTTGCAATTTCTGGCGTTTTGTCACAAGGACCTATTGGAAAGGATCTTCCAATAGCCTATGCATCTCGTACGCTCTGTAAGGATGAAAGGAGATATTCCACAATAGAACGCGAACTATATATTAGCTATAGTTTGGTCCGTGAAACATTTCAGACCCTATCTATATGGTCGAAAGTTTAAACATGTTACTGACCATAGACCCCTTACGTGGCTTTTCTCCTACCGGGACAGCGGAAGTAGATTAGCAAGACGGCGCCTCAAGTTAGAGGAGTACGACTACGAAATAGTGTACAAGCTAGACAAGCCTAATAAAAATGCCGATGCACTATCACGTATAAAATTACCCTCTAATGTCAATGCTTTCACCCAAAGTGATGAGGAAGGAGAACCTTACACCCAATTTTCTGAATTTGAATTTGACATTTTTGCCCGTCTGTACAAAACGACATCTTTAATAGATTATTCCAAAGTTCAATTTTCCAATTCTCAGCTTTTGGACAAAAGCCATAAGCATACAGTCGCATTCTTTAGGCAAAATACTCTTTCTGATCTTCAGGAAAAGGTCATAGAGGATGTATTTGAGGAAAACCTTGAGCTATCCGCTGGCAAAATTAACATTGCGTCAAGCAAAACGGTCAAAGACAGAAAATATTTCATTATTCCCGTACTATATGATCCCGCAACTTGCGTACAACATCTTTTCACTGTAGTCTTGAACAATAAAAACGTTTTCGATTTATCCCAACAGACCTATGTTGAAAATAACTTAGATCTGCCCATTTTAGATATGTTTTCTTTCATGTTTTCTGACGACAACATTAAGCTTGTTGTTTGTCAAAATATCACAAAAACCCCTAGTCGAGACGAAATTCCAGTCATTTCAGATCAGTACCATTCTGGTAAGAGAAATATTCGTAGAGGCATTAACGAAACGATCAGACATATCCGCGAACGCTACAATTGGCCAGGCTTAACAAAAAATGTGGGGCATCATATTAAAGAATGTGAAATTTGTCAAAAAAAAAAAACAAAATTTGTCGAAAAAAACCTTAGTGCACCTTTGGTGGTAACCGAAACTCCCAAAGCCCCATTTGAACGAATTAACATTGACATTTTAGAAGTCCCGCCGTAATGTTATGCGCTCAAGCCTACCCAGTTGGCGATAAGTCTGCTAAACCCGTCGTCAATACTCTTCTTTTATATTTCCAACACTATGGTACTCCCCTCCGTATACATTGTGATTACGGAAAAGAATTCGACAACGCCCTTATGAAAGACCTGTAGCCTTTACGATATCAAATTACGCTGTGTCTAGGTACACGCTAACTTGTACGCTTAGAAAATAATTGTGTACACGCGAAACGTCATAATAGTAATGACGTCACGTTTTAGCATGCACGCATGGTGTTGTTTGTTAAATACACGCTAAATAAAATAGATACAAGTTATATATATAATATTTGAATAAGTAAAAATATGCAAATGAATGTAACTTTTATTAAAAAAATAATAGTATCAAATAAACATTTTATGAGATACAGGGTGGGGCAAAAGTCGCGAAGGGATTTGAAAAATTAATAACTTTTTTAAATTTTAATTTTAATTTTTTTCCCTAACACAAAACTAAAATGCAATGTTTGGAGTTTGTTTACAATTTAAGTGTGAAAGATTACATCACGCAAATGACCGCCATTTTCAGCCTCGCAAAGTGCAGCTAGAAGGTGCATAGTGGCTCGAGCAGTATGCGCAGTGGCTCCATCTTGTTGGAAAGTCATCGTTTGATTGTCAGCAAGAGCTGGTCTTAAGAAATTTTGAATCATATCACGATATCGGTCGCCATCTACAGATACAGCATTCCCATCGTGGTCTTCGAAGAAGAATGGTCCAATAATTCGTTGAGACGTAACTGCGCACCATACTGTACATTTAAGCGGATGTAATTGCCTTTGATGAACCACCCTTGGGTTCTCGGTACCCCATATTCTGCAGTTCTGCTTATTTACGAAGCCATTCAAATGAAAATGGGCTTCATCGCTCATGATCAGAGAATGAATAAATTCATTATCTTCTCGAGCCATTCTTTGCAAGCGAACTGCATAAGTTAGTCGTTCTTGAAAATCTGCTGGTTTTAGTTCTTGCACTAGCTGCACTTTATATGGAAACAGATGTAAATTTCCTCTTAATATTCTGCGTAAAGACCTTTGAGACATCTGCAGCTCAGCAGAACGTCTTCGGGTTGAGGTTTCCGGATTCTCCTGAACACTCTCCTGAACGCGTTGAATGTTCCCTTCATTTCTTGCGGAACGTGGCCTTCCGCTTCGTGGGAGATCCATAACTGTGCCTTGTTGCTGAAATCGTGCCACTAAGCGTCGAATCATTGATTCAGAGGGCGAATTCCGCAAATTGAAATGACGACGATATGCTCGTTGAGTTTGAATTATTGAATGGTGATATTCAAAATAAAATTCTATAAGTTTGGTTCGTTGATTGAGGTTGTAACGCTCCATAATTAATCTCCAGGATTTATTTTACACGGTCCTGAAAAAAAAAATGAAAACAAAATAAATTTAAAAAAGTTATTAATTTTTCAAATCCCTTCGTGACTTTTGCCCCACCCTGTATAAACATTTTATAAAACATAAAAGCTATTTTCTCCGCCTTCGTTTTAGTCCAATCAACGTTTGTTCAGCGCCTTTCGGTCTTCCTTTTTCTTTAATTTTTGGTGGCAACTTGATGTTACTTATAACTAAAAATGGATATTTATCAAATTTCAAATTATAATTACCGTCTGTATTATATCAATATCTATAAGTATATACCATTTATTTTTTTGGCATTTTCGCAAATAATCTCACTCCCCTGTTCAGTTAAAAGTTGTTTTTTCCTATTAGGCTCTGGAATTTCATTTTTTTCTAAAATATAATAAATTAGTAAGATAATTATTGATTTCGGTCATTGCGAAAGCACTATACCGGTAGTACATATGCTTTCAAAATGTAATACTTTGTTAGGCTCAGGTTCTCCACTATATTCATTTACTTTACTTTCTTTATTTTCTTCTATTTGTTGTTCTAAGTTATCGGTAGTGTCGCTATTCTCTACCAAACTGCTTTTGTTTAAAAAACGAAAACATATAATATAATTATGTTTTACCATATAATGGTTTAAAACCAACACACCCTGATTATCCATATTTTGAGTGTCTTCTTCTTTTCCTAAGACTACAAATTCAATGTGCACATCATCTACCTCAACCAACTTGCTTATATCAACATTTTCTATTGACTGGATTGTAATGTCCTCGGGGTAGGAATGGCACTTTACTGCTATTTCACGACCTTGCCGCCAAAGATTTCCTCTAGTACCTTCATTTTGTAATTAAAACATCTCAGAGAAGATAAGCTTGCTATATTTGCTAGAGAGTTAAAAAGAGAGCTTTGCACTGCTTGAATAACAGGATTTGTAGCTAGGGTTACAGAAAAAGGTTGTGAGGAAGCTTGGTCGCTTTTATTCACAACATTTGTAGTTGTCCTTTGGTGTTTAAATAAAATTCTTTTGACCATCTTTTATTACATATATTTTTGTCAAATAATTTTATTTTTGCCAATCTTCTAACGGCAAAAATATGCTTGCATGGCAATAGCATTGATGAAAAATGTATACAAGTACACTCCATTGGACAAACATGATAGATTTTTCCTTTTGATTTTACTTCATACTTGTTTAAATTGTTGTCTTTCAACACAATGTTTACATTTTTTGATTCTTTAGTTTGATTTTGAATATATCTGTTTGCATAAGGGGTGAGAAATTCTTCATAATGGAATTCGCAGCTGTCCTTTCCAAACACTGTAATAGCCCTTGTTAGCCCTTGTTAAAATCAATCGTGCGGCCCTATTATCTCTTTCGTTTTCATGAGAGTGTAAAAAATGAAGAAAATTTTTAAAAATTCTGATATACTGCAATTTCTTTGTATGACCTGCTTTAATTTGCCATTTATTGCCTCTAACCGATTGTTTGTTCTATTCAATAAATTACCATGACACATATTGTAAACTGTCCATTCATCTCTTATAGTATGCCAGTTTTTATTATAATAGGTAATTATTGATAGTGGGGTAGTTTCTTGCAGTAGTTTATAGTATTGATCATACTGTTCTTCGCTTCTGCTGTAAGCAAGATTTTCTAAAAGCTCTAAGGCTCTAGTCCTTTCATCATTTGTTATGTTCATTTTTTCTTTAGATAACTCACGTTTCATAGTTTTTAAAGTATGGAATAAGCAAATATATACTGGGACTTGGACTTGGGAAAATTTCTTTTATCACATTTCTTTGTAATAAATCTTTATCGCCCATTATACATTTTATTTGATATTCCGAGATCGAACTGTCATCCTTAAAGGTATTTAAAAACCAAGAAAACGTTTCTTTATCCTCGTGTGCAGTTAAACCTACAGCAGCTATTTCACTTAGACCATTCGAATCTTCTACCAAAATTATGAATACAGTAGATCCTAAATTAATTAACTTGTAAGTTCCATCTATTGAGACAAATTCAGGCCAGGCTTTTATTGCCTTCCTCAAAGAATCTGTAGAAAATACAGAGCTTTAAAATGATTCCTCGAATCGTGTAGAATGTGGACATTGCATTCTGTAAACAATAAATTTGTAGTATATTAGTTCTTTCTAAAATCACTGAATAAAGTCAATTATTTCTATAAAATACCACACTACATTAAAATTATTGAACATTCTAACAGTATTACAGCTCAATTGAAGTTAAATAGAAAAAAAAATGATACAAATGTTTGTGCCCTCTAACCCATTTTGTTTATACTCACTGTAAATATATTTCAGCTCCTTTACTATATGTTCTAAATCATTACTAGCATTCTTCTTACTACATGCAATATTTGCTAAATCTTTGAGTGTACTCAATTTTCCAGTTGAACTCAATATCTTTTGCTGTATTAATTTCTTATTTCCAGGGACATCTAACAGATTTTTCGCCAGAGTTCAATCTAGGATTTGAGAGCAAGTGATCAAAAACCTCCTAAAAAAAGACTCAATAAAATAACTGAAATATTTGACTAGTCAACAACCACACAAGTATCCTTTCTCTACTTTAAAACTCTCATAATGCGAAATAAATAAATATAATTATACGCTTACTGTAGACATATCATGATTTTCATGTTTCTCCAAAAACTGTTTAACTTCGAGGCGATCGCCTGCCTAAGTAGCTCGAATTTTAATTTTAGCTGGGCAATTCATCTTGTGAGTTCTAAAATATGTAAAAACAAATCCTTAGATATTCAATTCTTATCATACTTTACCTAAATAAAAAAGTGACTTTTAGTCGAATTGTTAATGGCACTACTTGATGGCCAAGATCAAACTACTGACACCGTTTATAGGTTAATGCCTAGTTCAACTTTTCTATTGCGTATGCCTTTTCCACGAGTCCTTACAACACCACCATGAACACAACACAAGTGAGCTTCATAGTATTTTAGGTCACTGTTTAGTTTTCGCTTTAACATTTTCTGTGCTGCCTCAATTGTTCTGCTACTTTTATCACAAATTTTTGTCTGTTCACTGTTTCATACTGATTTAGCGTACTTTTAAACTGAGCAAAAGAATCAAATGTTTGACCAAACTGCATAATGAGAATATCATTCAAAACTTGCCACATAAATTTCACAAAAAGATGAACGCATCAATTAAGAAGCAATAAATAACATAAATCGCACATAACCTCAAAATGGTCATGGATATCACGTGTATTTAATAAACGACACCATGCGTACACGCTAAAACATGACGTCATTACTATTATGACGTTTCGCGTGTACCCAATTATTTTCTGAGGGTACAAGTTAGCGTGTACCTAGACACAGGGTATATCTTTTTGCAACAGCTACTGTAGTGAAGCAAAGTAAACATGTAGGTTTACGCGACTTGCTTTCAATAAAACAATATTTATTTTCCCATTCATCATGAAAAACACGATAGGCCTCTGTTGATTTCGAAGTACTCGGTTTGCTGTGAGCCATACTGGAACAAACCACATTTTGTTTATAATATAAAGAAAATATAAACTCATACACTCGAACACTCCTTTCAAAATAGGTAGGTACCTAAGTAATATGAAAACAGAAATACTTAATGAATAACATACCTTTGACAGTCAAAGTAAATACGAAATTGACAAAATATATGGGCCAGTTATTCATCAACCAAAACACAAATAAAAAAACCTAACTTTTAACAGTCAGTTAAACTATACTCGTATAACACGTACGCACTCAATTGTTTCTCGAAACATAATGAGACTGTATTGCGCGGGAGGGGTCGATGAGAATGCATGCTGTGTAGGTATAACGGTCGCGGCGAGCAATTTGGCGGGATTTTTCAATTTGGCGCGTATTTCAAAACTTACTTGCGCGGGCCATTTAAAATTCTTTCGCGGGCCACAATTATTTAGTAAAGTGTATACCTTGTGTATTAAATTTTTGAAAAGCTTATTTTAGATCAACAATGTTATGGAATTCAGGATTATTTTATCTGGTCAGCTTGTGGTATACATCAATATTTTTCTTCATTTACAAATACAATAAGACATTTGCAGCTACCAACTAATGCAAAGTTAAAAAAACATTTCATGAAGAAAATACTTTCATTAAAACATTATAAGTGCTTTATTCGATCAAATAAACACATAAAGTAAATTGGACAAGAATATATGCATAATATAGACTAAATACATTTGCATAACAATGTATCACAGTTTGCAAATAATAATCATAGATTTTCTGATGATAGCTGAATAGAATAAACTAGCAGCTAAACCCGGTGTTCCCTGGATCAAAATACATTTTTCTATCTTATATATGTACCCAAATCTTGGTACCATTAAGTGTATGTTGTAGTGTATACATTGTTAACTGATTAATTCAGTTAGTAAATCTAAATCAATTTATTATAAATCAAATTTGAAGATATTAAAAAGTGCCTGGATACATGAATCCATTCTTAGGAAGATTACTCCCCTTTTTATCCTTCCAAATAGATATGGAGTTTTGTATGCAATATCACGATGGTTTATATCTGCAAAAAGATGCATAGATAAAATTTTACACCTTGGTGTGGGCTACATGTTTAAACTCCATTTCAGAGCATTTACACATTATACATACTTGTAGCCTGACACCATGCAATCCAAAGTCTAACAATGATTTGTGAACAGCCATCTCCGACATCAACAATGAAGTTGCACTTCGGATACAATGTTTCTTATCCAACATCTCATAAAGTCTGTGAGAGCGAACCACATCTGAAAAAAATGCGATAAGTACGTATATATAAATATGAATATGCAATGTTTAAAAATTTTGTAACTTACCAGCTTCATCAAGGATCAACTTTGTTGTAAGCTGTTAGGCAAATATATAAAAATACACATCCATTTGCATTAAATTGTTGATTTTAGATCATTAATATCAGATATGGGACTTGAAGATACCACATCCTGACGAATTTGTTCCATGTAGGAAATTATTATTGAATGATCAACATTATTTGCGAGAAAATATCATTCGGCATTTGATTCATCTGTCAAAAATTTCGTCAAAAAAGAAACATAACCTAACATTTACAGCAGACTAGAAATATAAAGCAGGACATGTACCTTAGCAAAGATGTAATATTATCGAAATCAAGGAGGCCATCAACGCGCCCTACAATTGTAGGGACGACTGACGATACGGGCCTAAGTGTCGATTCTTTTGATGGGCACTTTATTTCAATACAAAACTCAGCATTTATAGCATCAGGGTTAGCTCCAAATATAGGATATCTCTTACCTACAAATATTCCTACTTTTTCTACTTTTATTACCTTCTTTCTTGCCACAACCTTCAATACTTCATCCTCTAATGATAATCCCCTCTTCTAGCCTTTGTGGACTTGAATTTTGCAGCACCCAAAATTGACTCCGCTAAACACCCATTATATGTTGTATTCTGTCCTGCTTCATAAAACTTCGATGCAGTAATACGTGCATACCTTATCTCAAACCATGTACCAGTATTGGATTGATCTTTTGTTTGATTCAAAATTTCTTTACAAGGCTGACCATTCATTTCTTGCTGACAATACTGAATAAAATGTTCAGCAGTGATGCTGCTACTGTTTGTTACAAATTTATTTATCAATAGCATTCTCTTCCGTTTTGTAGTATTCAAATAAAATGCCCTGGCTTTTGTTTTCTAATCCTTTTTCTAGTAGTTTTTTTAAGAAAGAATTATTGTGTGATGCAACTGGGGGAACATTCTTGAATAGCTCGTTCAATTTTGCTGCTTTCAATGAAGAACCTACTTTTGCTAAAGTCGGTTTTCGCCAGTAGCACGCAACACTTGTTACAGAAGGTTCTGTAGAACGTCGGAGTAGCCAAAACATCAGAGCTACACCATGCTTGCACCCTCCTAGAAATTCGAATATAGTATATTATAAAGACATAAGGAATTATTAAACTCAATACCTTCACTAGCTGGGCAGCTATGACACACACTATGTGTAATCTTCTCTTCAGCTTCATTAATGCAGATTGTCATCTGAAATCCTTTTTCGTGGATCTTGTATTCTGGAGTTACTTGGTACTTTACAGTCCGCTCTCGCAACAGCTGGACAAATCCGATAGCTTCATCCCCATACGATTGCTTGCCACTTCTAAGAACAAAATGATTATTAAAATATACTTACTCTCAATCGAAAAAGTACTCACCATTATGTCGAAAGTATTCATCGATCATCTCGTATTCTACTTTCGGTAAATTCGAAGAATCTGCTTTCACGAAGTTTTGTTCCATATTTTAATTGTGTATTTAAAAAGCTAAATTCCAAATCAGTCACTGCATCACGTTGCACAAGCTAAATCGCAATACCAAATCGTCAACAACAACGCCAGAATGCATCATAACCTTTAAATTATAATAATAATAATAATAATATGTCTTTATTTTTTAGTTAAAAGAATAACAAGGAAAAAACTCATTTGATGAGGGAGGCGGCATTCAACATGCAACCCCCGGAAATAATACTAAACTAACAATTAGAGAAAGTGATGGGTGTAATTAATACAACAAAAATGAAACTATTGTGCACTTTTCACATAGCATTTGACTCTATTTCGGAAGCTGCTAAGTGAGATCGAATTTTTTACTGTATCTGGCAATGAATTGTATATTGTAGATGCAACATAAGTAAATGACTTTTTAAACTGTTCAGTACTATGTAACGGAACATCATAGAGATTACAAGAACGAGTTTCCCTATCATGAAGATCCGATCTCTTAACAAGTTTGGTATAGAGGTAAAGTGGTAGCTGGGTTTTGTTAATATTGTAAGTTAAGCAAGCAAGATGTATCAAAAAGCGCTCATCCATGTTAAACCAGCCCGAGGCTCGAAATTCGTCACTGAAGTGGTCATATTTTTTCAAACCGTACGAAAACTTAATGCATGAGTTCTGACTTTTTTGAATAGAACGTTTGTCTCTTGTAGTAAGAGCAGTCCAGTATACAATATCCGCATACGACAAGGAAGACAATATGAACGAATCGCATAGATTCAGCCTGACTTCAGTAGAGAGAGCATTCTTGTGAAGATAAAAAGTCCTTAATTTAGTATAAGCTATTTGTAAGAGATGCTTAACGTGGGGAACAAATTTAAGAGTATTATCCATATATAGTCCCAGATTTTTACATTGGTTGCTTGCTTGTAATACAATGTTATTAATACAGATTCTAAAATTCTGGTTGTCAGTAACTTCACAAGGTCTTGATCCAAAAATCAGCAATTCAGTTTTATTTTCATTTAATACGAAGATGTGGGCTCCTACATATCTAGATAAATACTCAAGATCAGAATTGATACGCATGCAGGCAACATAAGCATCATCAAGTTTAAAAGAGTAATACAATTGTGTATCGTCTGCATATTGATGTGTACTACAAAATTCCAACTGACTTTTCAAATCTGACGTATACAGTGAAAACAACAAAGGTCCTAAAATACTACCCTGTGGCACACCTCTGGTAATAATACGAAACTGAGATATGTGCCCATTAAATTCTGTGCACTGGGATCTGCCTGACAGGTAGCTATTAAATAAATCTACAGCCATATTGCCCAGAGATTTAAGTTTCGAACATAAGATTGAATGATCTATTGTATCAAAAGCTTTACTGAAATGGAACAAAATCAAGCACCTATACATCTTATTGTCACATGCTCTGAATAAGTCATCTGTAACGGCTGCAAGTGCGGTTGTAGTACTATGGCCAGAGCGAAAGCCCGATTGTGTGGTAGGAAGTATATTATTAGATGTAATAAATGTTTTTAGTTGGAAAGCTACGATTTTTTCCATTATTTTCGAAAAGGTAGGTAGAATACTTATAGGGCGAAAATGAGAAAATTCTTTTGGATTACCAATCTTTGGGATAGGGATAACTTTAGAGTATTTCCAGCTGGACGGGAAAGTGTTGTTAGCAAGGCAAAAATTGACAATATAAGTAATTATGTTACTTAGATAAGGAAAACTAGTTGAATCATCTTGAGGTCAATCTTGTCAGTACCAGATGAATTAGATGTTATTAACATTAATACGCGCTCCATATCTGCAGTACTCACAGAACGGAATGAAAATTTATTGTTAATATTACGATCAGATACATATTGGCTTGCATCAACGCCAGATGAGATACCACTGGAAGGAGCGCCATCAATGAAAAGGTTGTTAAGTTCATCTGGGTAGTACTGCCGACCATTAATGTCAGATGGACTGTTTCGGATATTGAGATAGTCCATAGCTTTCCAAAATTCCTTAGAAGATAATTTTGATTTTGAAAATGCTTTCTTTTCAGACTGTATTGAAAAGTTGTACAAATTTCTTAAATTCTTATAATATTGCAGCGTCTCCTGAGTCTTATACCTCTTATACCTTAAAAAATATTTTTTCTTAAGCTGTTTCATCAATTTTAAATTGTCTGTCTACCAGGGAGCTGATCTCTTAGTGATTCTAGCAGTTTTATACGGAGCATGCCAATCAAAGGCGTTAGAGATTTAACACTTTGGTGGACACTTGGGAAAGCACAATTGAACACAATGTGACACGAGGGCCAAATTTTTATATAGTGGTTTTATTTAGCTGTTTTTATATCTGTGGGTATATAAATGATTATTTTTTTAGTTTTTTGATTTTTCTGGTGGAAGGGGAAAAAACTTCTATAGACGTCGTGTCACATTGTCTGAACATATTGTATGTTTGATATGACATGGCAACTATAGTGGTCTGATTTCTTTAGTTGTATTGTTAGCGTATACTGTTTTCTTTGATATGATGCGACAAGACCAAAGTTGTTAATGTATAAAAAATAGAGTTTCTAGAGAAATATTTCCTATATATTTGCTCGAAGAAACTTACAAAATGGAAAAAGAAATTCTAAGCTAATCCCTGAACACAAAAAAACAAAACGAACCTAAACCCTGCATTAGGTGAAAAAATGATTCATATACCTACTTTATGTTTATTTGAAAATACAGAATACTGAAAACATAACTCAAAAAAACAATTATTTCCTATTATAAACTTTTATATCATATCATGCCAACCTTCAAAGCATTCAGGACATAACGGTGGTTTTTCAGGACACTGTTTATATCGGTAACTAGTCTGTTTTCTCTGCTTATTTTGTGTGCAAAGTTTGCAACGTAAAAAATGAGTTTTCCTTTTTGAGTAAAATTGTATGCCATATTTGGCTTTTTTCCTTTCATATAGGTTCTAAAAACCAGCCTACCCCTGTGAAGCAGCAATGATTCATCTATTGAAAGCTGTTTCGGAGGTGTATAACAGGACTGAAATCTTTGTAACAGCATATTCAGAAGAGAGAAGAGGACTTACTTTCTCCATACCTTTTACACCTTTCTCTGCACAGCAAAAGCATTGTAAGATTTGTTCAAATCTTCTTCCGGACATGATATGTAAAAACAGTGGATGAAAATAAAGAGGATCGTTGCTAAACAGTTTTCATCTGCGTGGAAACGACACTTGGGCTTGGAGTAAGCATAAGCCCAAAAAATGTTTCATTTCAGTTGAAGTAACATCATTGAAAACTCGCTTGCGACTAAATCTGGTATATGGTTGATTTATTGTGGTCATTTTCTTTCCATAATCGTTTGTGGATTGCACTAAAAGATCTAACATTTCTGGAGTGAATATGAGATCAAATACCGTTAACGGTGTCATTTCTGCATTTAGGTTTATGTTAAACCCAACTCCATTCTCGTCAAAGTCAAAAAATGGTATTGCTTTTGAGTCAGATTAAAGTTTCCAGAATCTAATGAATCTTGTGATTCACTACTACTAGAATCAGACTCATTTTGTGATTCCACATTTTCATCAGTAAATGGTGGTTGTCTTGGCCTTGGTGCGTCGTAAGACCCACCAGAACTGTGACTGCTTTCCGGATCTCGACAAAAATCTGGATCAGAACCCTGACTATCATCGCCAAATGGATCCGACTCTTCCATTTCTGAAAGAACTTCTTCATATAGTCTCTGTAAACGTCTCTGTTCCTTTTCATATGGGTCGTTCATCTGAAAAAAACAATACATTAAAGAAATCCAAGATCTACATTACGTTAGCAGACTAAAAAAGAATACATATTCCCTGCAGATTTAATCCCTCAATTCCAGGCAGACAGACACACAGATAGACAGACAGACCAACACACATACATCTTAAATCATTAGATTTAGAAATAACTCTTTAAAAAATTTTATTTGAGGACTGAAGCTTCAGTCCATATAAAATACAAATGTGACATTTACGGAGTCTAACCGGGTATTGAACGACAGGATATGGCCGCGAGGCCTATTTATACATTCGGAAAGCTGACTAAGAATTAGCAGAAAACAGCAAAGGCACTATTCTAGCAACGGATTAGCGAGAAGTTGTTATCATATGCTGACACAGCGTCTGGTGCAACATTGTATAATAACTGCGTAGTTACTATGGCCATATAACAACTCCTCCCTATTACAAGAAGTTGTTGCTATGCGACAACTTTTGACCAACATTGAAAAATGTAAAAATATCAAAAAAATGTCAAAAGTATAAATTTGTAAAAATGTAAAAATTGTAAAATTGTAAACATTGTAAAAATATAAAAATAGTAAAATTGCAAAATACAAATTGCAAAAGTAAAATCAGAAAATACAGATTCTGAAAAATAAAATTGTTAGCATAAATGCGGTACATTGGCGATGCAAAATAACATCTAAAAGCAAAGCTGGAACAAACAAATAATAAGATACAATCGTACAGTCGTACGGGCAAAATCACATGGAAGATAACACGAAAATTGAAAATGGTTTTTTGAACAGTGAAAACACTTCACGGAACACTCACTGCAGTTCGATGTCTTCTTCATGTAGCTGGATGGTTGGTCTACGTCGAGGAAAAAGTCTGGGAATGTACCGGACTTTTGGTGCTCCTGGAGATGGGCCATCGGCTGGATAATTTGATGCGCAGATGCTGAGTGGTCTACGTTTTCTGCACTTGCAGAACAGGTACAAAGCTACGATGATAACTAACAGGGTGATGATGAAATACGTGAACCATGAGAGATGTCTCGAAACAAACGGCTCGTTCATAATTTTGTCCACTTGTTCAGAATATTGGTTTAATTTGTGATTGGCAATTTCGAGTTCTTCAGTATCGATCTTGCTTAGCTTGATCGGTTTTAATTTTGGTAAATTTTGTTTCTCTGGGAGATGTTCACAGCATTTGTAGGGTACTTCTACAGGGTGACTTTTGTATGTGATATTCTTGTAGGTGCTAACAGAATATCTAGAATGTAATCTCGTGGTGCCTACAAAGCCACTGCATTCGGGCTGCATTTTTAAAAGTGAATTAACTTTTATCACTTTGGTGGTAGTCTCTCGTTGTCCACACTTCATCGTAATTGGCAGAGGGCTAGATATGGTGATTAGCCAAAAATTGGTTACAAGTTCTTGGATTTTGTAATCTTGCAATGCCACAATTGCTATTTGGCAGGCTGTCGGCAGATCGACCGGATTTCGCAACAACTGTGCTTCGCAGACTGCATTACTATCTATTGGATACGGCAAGAGGTTGAAACAGATTTTCACCTGAGACTGAAGAACATTACAACTACCTAAATTTTGAAAGGAAACATACAAAAGAGAATCGCTATCTTTAGCAATGTACCTCTGTATAGTGGAGACTACATGAAATAAACCAGTACGTTTATCGAGAATGGGTAGAGGAATCACTCTGTATAAAGTATACATTTCGGGCTCTAATAACGGGATGCGTAGAACGAATACTACTCTTGTTTTAGTTTGATATGCTTCGAGTTCCATAAGATTAAGGTACTCTGACACTGTTGCCAAATTAACCGGAAGGGGTAAATTATTTCTCGACAAAGTGTGAGAGATTTCTTGAAGAGAATTTACTAAGTCTTGAGGAGTGATAATAGAAGGATGTATTATTTTTAAACGTGCAAAAGTAATCGAATTTAGAATATCATTAATTGTCTCTTCCAGAAACATGTAGCTTTCCATTAATTGTTCGCAAACTTCTAAAAATTGGAATTTAGCTTCATAAAATGCAAGATCGTCTGAAATTTCATAAATTTTGTTTTCAATAACCTTAATATCTTCATTAAACGTAGTTTCATCAATCATAAGTTTTTGAATAGTGTTATTAAAATTCTTGATAACCGACATGGTAACAGAAATTTGGTTCTTCATGAGATTTTCGAGCTCATGTTCATCTTTAGAAATTTTGTTAATACAATCGTTATAGTATTCACCGTCCGATGAATCGAGGTTGCCGGTTATTGCTTTCCATACGGTACCTATAGCGTTAATCAGATCGCGTTTCATCCGCGATGCGCTTACAGTGTCATCGAAGATCGCGTAATATTTAGATTCCAAGGAACGAGAAATTTGATAAAGGAGACTTGTATGAGTTTTAATTTCGCCACTAAATATTTTCATACGATTGGTGGGTTTGTCTACGAGATATGATAAGTGTTCCAGAATATAGTTGTTATCGTCAAGTGCTTTCTTAATGAGTTCTAAGTCTTTATATACAAGGAGTGTCCAAATTTCGTTGGAAATCTTAAGAGGGGCGTCTTCATGAAAATAGATACCTAAGGTGTTGTTAAGCGGTTTGATGTCTATCTGGGCTGTGACAGCCGCAAGAAACAGCAGACTGCACCTGAAAGAGAAGCTAAGTCTCAAAACATGGTTTCAGTCTGTCAAAACTAACTTTACTTATTCTATTTGTTTCCGGGTTCTTAAGGAGCGCAGAGTTTTCAAAAACTTGAGTAATTTCGAATGGACCATCAAATTTGTTCTGAAGTTTGTTTGAAATTTGAGACTGTTTCACAAAGACTTTATCTCCAACTTTATATGATTGTAAATTGGGTGACACTCTACTATCAAAGCGAATTTTTGCTTTTTGCTTCTGTTCGTCAGTTCTCAAGCGGGCAATTTTGTAGTAATATTCGAGTTTATTCCGAATGTCTCGAACATACTTGGACATCAATTCTTTTTCTAAATATACGTGTTCGGGCGGACGACCAGAGGTGTGGCCAAACACGAGCTCGTATGGTGTAAAGCCAGTAGTTTTATTTCTAGTGCTATTGTAGCACTGAACAGCATAGGGAAGAATATTGAAGAGATGTTCGTCGGGATTTTCGGATACATGGGATCTGATCATTTCCAATAAAGTGGCGTGAAATCGCTCAATCGAGCCATTGGACTGGGGATGACTGACACTAGAAAAAGTTAATTTAATGTCATAAAGACTACAAAGGTCTTTCATGAGGGCGTTGTCAAATTCTTTTCCGTAATCACAGTGTATTCGGAGGGGTGTACCATAATGTTGGAAATATAAAAGTAGAGTATTTACTACAGATTTTGCAGATTTGTCGCTAATTGGATAGGCTTGAGAAAATTTTGTTAGCTCGTCTCGGATTGTGAGAGCGTAGCATTTAGGTGGGACTTCCAAAATGTCAACGTTGATTCTTTCGAACGGGGCTTTAGGGGTTTCAGTTACTACAAAAGGGGCACTGAGGTTTTTACGAAAAATTTTGGTCTTTTGACAAATTTCACACTTTTTGATGAAATGCTCAACGTCTTTAGTTAAGCCGGGCCAATTATATCGTTCACGAATTCGCCTAATTGTTTCATTAATTCCTCGATGAATGTTTTTCTTACCACAATGGTATTGATCTAAAATGACGGGGATTTCATCGGGACTAGGAGTTTTGGTGACGTTTTGGCAAACGACAAGTTTGATATTATCATCCGAAAAAATAAAAGAGAAAATTTCTAAAATGGGTAAGTCCAAATTATTTTCAACGTAAATTTGTTGGGATAGGTCGAATACACCTTTGTTGGTTAAAATTACAGAGAAAAGATGCTGTATGCAAGTTACGGGATCGTATGGCACAGGAATAATATAGTATTTTCTATCTTTAATTGTTTTGCTAGACGCGATGTTAATTTTATCTGCAGAAAAATCAAGATTTTCCTCGAATATTCTTCGATAATTTTTTCGTGAAGATCAGATAGAGTGTTTTGTCTGAAAAACGTGACGATATGTTTATGACTTTTGTCTAGGAGTTGGGAATTTGAAAATTAAATTTTGGAATAATCGATCAGAGATGTGGTTTTGTGAAGGCGGGCAAAGATATAAAATTCACTTTCGGAAAATTGGGTAGAAGGTTCTCCTTCTTCGTCACTATGGGTAAGGGCGTTAACAGTTTTGGGTAATTTGATACGTGATAGGGCATCGGCATTTTTATTAGCCTTGCCTGGCTTGTACACTATTTCATAGTCGTACTCCTCTAGCTTGAGGCGCCATCATGCTAATCTACTTCCGGTGTCTCGGCAAGAGAAAAGCCACGTAAGGGGTCTATGGTCTGTTACGAGTTTAAACTTTCGACCATACAAATAAGGTCTAAAATGTTTTACACTCTAGACAATAACTAGAAGTTCTCTTTCAATGGTGGAATATCTCGTTTCTGCTTTACAAAGTGTACGAGATGCATAGGTTATCGGGAGATCTTTACCTATGGGACCTTGGGAAAGAACGCCAGATATCGCAAAAGCGCTTGCGTCTGTTGTAAGCACAAAAGGCTCTTCAAAGTTGGGCTAGATCAGTATAGGAGATGTTGTTAAAGCATTTTTTAAAGTATCAAATGACTCGCAAAGTCAAATACTGCGTCTTTCTGTAATAGTCTGGTAAGGGGTTTCGCAATTTTGGCAAAGTTTGGTATAAAGCGTCGGTAGTAACCTGCAAGACCTAAGAAAGATTTTATTTCTTTAGGATTCTTGGGCTGAGGGAAATTTTTTATGCAATCCACTTTATCTGGATTGGGCTTAACGCCATCAGGGGTTATTACATGACCAAGATAGGCTACTTCCTTTCTGAGGAATTCGCACTTATCAGGCTGGATTTTGAAATTCGACTTGCGAAGACGCTTAAAAATTTCGGTAAGCCTACTGATGTGTTCTTGGATGGAGGGGGAATAGACAATTATGTGATCCATGTATGCAAGACATCTTTCGTTTTGTATACCCATCAAGATGTTGTCCATGACACGTTGAAACGTGGCAGGAGCGTTCTTGAGACCAAAAGGCATCCTCAAGAATTGTAGTCCGTAATGTCCGTTTTCAACTGAAAATGCAGTTTTAGGAACATCAACTGGATTTATCTCGATTTGATGAAAACCAGATGCCAAGTCCAGTGTACTAAAGTACTGGCATTTCCCTAATTGATCAAGTAGATCGGAAATGTTTGGCAGGGGATATTTATCATCGATGGTGATTTCGTTAAGCTTACGATAGTCAATCACCATACGCCATTTCTGTTTACCAGAGGCGTCCATTTTCTTTGGTACAACCCACACCGCAGAATTCCATGGCGATGTGCTAGGTTCGATAATACCTTGTTTGATCCTTGACTTCTTGCTTGTGGACATAAGGGTATCGGTAGGATTTGGTAAAAATTGGTTAACTGGTAGTGGTATCAATGGAATGCTTAATTTCGTTTGTAAATGACAGGCTATCACCATCTAAATAGAATATGTCCGAAAAATCTAAACAAAGATTCGTAATTAAATCTTTTTCCTCTTCGTTGAGATGATCGAGACGTAGTTGATCTATAATAACATCTCTACGGTTATACTGACTTTGATTTTGTAAAGAAGTGTTGAATTTATTGATAGAAGTTTCGTTAAAGGGCTCGAAAGTTAATTGGGGTAAAATTACATCTTTTGGAATGGCATTACAGTTTAATACTGTAGTAAGGAATTCGCCTTTAGAATCAATTTTAAATATGGAACTGGGTAGACGGACTTTTTCTACCTCACACGCCAGAAGAATGGCTTCAGTATTTCTAAGCTCGGATTTGAGCTTGACAACTTGTTCAACTCTGGGAGGAATGGAAATAGCATTTTGAACTTGAGAATTTTCTTTAAATTGCGAAGCTTTGGAATTATTTTTGTCACCTACTTTGAAAAGAGGGACTGTTTTGAAATTTGTAATCAATTGACGATTTTTCAAATCAATAATACAATCATAATGTTCAAGAAAATGTGACCCAAGAAGGCCATCGAATGAAATATCTAGATCGTGGACATAAATTTTGTGATAATCATTGGGAGCAAATGGGACTAAGACTGCTTCAGTAATACTAATTTTTTCGTCAGTAATACCTCGGGTAGAGATATTTTCTGCGACACGATTAATATAATCTTGACAAGTGTTACGTTTGAAAATGGAGCAACCTGCACCACTGTCAATGAGAATTTTGAATTTTCCAGTAGCATCTTTAATGTAATATAAGTTGTCTGGGCTAACGGGGTGAATTGTCGACGGGACTGTAAACGGAGGGTTTATATGAATATCTGATCGCGTGTGTTGCTGACGTTCGCACACGGTTTCGCGTTCGCGTCCTCGACACTGAGATTCGCACATACTATCGCGGCACTGTCGTTGGGTTCCGCAGGGGGTTTCTCTTTCAAACACTTGGTACGAAAATCCTGGAATTGCTGTATGTCCGAATAAGCGTTGTCAACAAATGTATCGGCGGTTTGATTATATTCGTAACAAAAATCGTTACTGGGTTCTCTAAAATCATCGTATGGGGAAGGTGTGTAGGCGGAGTATTGGGTATCGTCATATTCGTTAGCGTAGTCCGTGTTGTATAGGTCTGGTTCACCGTAGTCGAAATATTCGTCAGAATCAGGGGCGACATAATTAATTCGATTGGGAGGATTTTGTCTAAAATTTCTTTGAAAATTAGGGTTTTGGAAATTTGGATTGCTCTGAATTACAGAGGGTCTTGGCGCACTCGCGTTAGGCACATTTGGTCGTATTACAGATGGTCTGGGAGGATATTGATTGGAATTTTGATGGTAGTTAGATGTAGATGGTCTAACTTGCATAGGTTGATTCGGCCTAGGGTAAGTTTGAGGCTGGGGCTGCTTAAACTGTCTTGGGGCAAAACTTGTAGACTGTTGTCTCCGTTGGCATTCATTTGCCAAGTGACCGAGACGATTACAAAAATTACAAATTTTAGGGTTTGGTCTTCGACTAACTGAATTTTGATTCGGGTTTGGGGCCCTGGCGAATTTTTGTCGTTCCAAATATGAGAGTTGTAACTCTCGTTTGATATACGAAACTGCGGTCAAGATATCCGTGGGATGTCCTGATCGCACAACAGGTCCTATTTTTGAGTCTAATCCTGTTAATAGACAATTTAATGTCATCGTTTCGATGAGGGAACTTTAAGCAGATTTTTGCTCGCGATTTAGATTTTGCCTATTCACGGCGGAATGCATTTTGGCTGCATGCGTCTGCAGTCTAGATGCAAAGGTTAGGGGTGATTCGTTGGGGAGTTGGCGCATGTGTTGAAGATCCGCGATTAAAGATGTGAGATCTCTAAGATCTCCAAAGTGCGTTTCTAACAGGGACCGCATGTCTTCCCATGTGGAAGGGTTTCGGCTGTTCACAAGTTCGACGGCACGTCCGCGAAGTTTGTTTTTAATATGTAAAACGACGAGAGGCCGCTGCTCCTCGACGGCCATTTGATACGCCGTTCGGCACGCGTTGATGAAGGTCGATAGCAATATCGGGTTTCCATCGTACTCGGGTACAATCGAAAATATTTCAGATAATCTATAAGGTTCAATGTTCGCATGAACGTTATCAGGAATTTCAGCTGGTTGGTAATCATCTGAACCGTTAGTAGACATTTTAAATGGTAAGTTGTTTCAAAAAGATTCAATAATTTCAAGGGTAAACGCAAAAATATGTAAATGTAAAATAGAAAATACGTAAAAATGGGGAAAAATACGTGAAAATCGACAATATATAGAGTAAATGCGCAAAAATGCAAATAAAAAGATGATAACAATCACACACACAGAGATAAATCGCAAAAAATAGTTGTGTGTTCTAATGCGTTGAAGCTATCCCACTTCTCTGACACCAATTTCTTAAATCATTAGATTTAGAAATAACTTTTTAAAAAATTTTATTTGAGGACTGAAGCTTCAGTCCATATAAAATACAAAGGTTTACAAATGTGACATTTACGGAGTCTAACCGGGTATTGAACGACAGGATATGGCCGCGAGGCCTATTTATACATTCGGAAAGCTGACTAAGAATTAGCAGAAACACATCAAAACATTGTATAATAACTGCGTAGTTACTATGGCCATATAAGATACATATACAAATTATGATGATCAACATTTTTTTCATCCATCTATAATGCTGAGATTTGTAATTCTTTTTTAGTTTTATCAAACGGCAACATGAGCTACGTATACTAACGAATCTATGAAGAATCCAAAATATAGCTCATGGTTTTATAAAAAAATTATAAATTAATAATCACTTACTTTTTTATTTGAAAAATCCACGATGAAAACACCATGAAAGAAATCACATCACCACGTGGCAACTGTCTATCCACTAATGCAGGTACTATGCGACTACGACATCTATAGATGTCTTTGCCGCCAAAAGTAGACATTGCGCATGTCGAATGTAGCTAAACAATAGAGGGGATAAATCAGTCCTGTCATAAGATGAACTCTTTTAAAGGATGACTATAGACGCTGTGACCACCAAAGTATTAATATCCCAAAATGAAATAATGTCATCAATATTTTGCATTTGATAAATTGCTTGCCAGTTTATCTGCAGTAGGTCATTAACAAAATCATCGTAATCAAATTTAGACTACCACTAACTTAAACCTAGCCTGTCACATCACCCCCCTTTCGAATGGATAATTTTCCAAAAAGGTATATTTGAAACTTATAGTCTAACAGGCGACACCTTATAGGGTTTCAAGTTACACACACTGTGAGTACCCAGGTTAACACCAGTGACATCCTCAATGAGTTCGTAGGAATTGTGACCGTTCACATTTACAACAGTAGCGGGTCCCCTAAATAACAAAAAGAATTTTTTTATTTGTGCACAATCTACAGAAGATTGCTGATCAGCTCTTATGAGAACTTTATCCCCTATATTAAATTTATGCAGCTTATGCCGATCATCATGACGCTGCTGACGGTTCTCTGCTTTTGATAACAGATTCTTATGGGCTAATTTTTCTATCAACTCTCGAGAGGGCTCCGCCCAATTTGAAGGAGGAAACGAGATCTTGGTACATATTGCGTCATTAGGTTCAACACCAAAATTCAGGTAAGTAGGTGAGAACTTTTTTCCACCATGGATGACATGATATAACCAAGCCTGGACATAGCATGTCTTAGTGAATACCGGATGGTATAACATCGAAACCTCCAGAAATTTGCGCTTAATGTCCTGAAAGACAGCCGCTTCAAGACTGCCCCACCTTCATCCTGGTTCTTTCTCAGCAACCCGAGCAACGGTGCTATAGTTTCTGAGTAACCCTCACAAAACCGAGATTCATAATTTATGAGCCTCAGAAATGCCCTCAAAGCTTTGATATTACTTGGCGCGGGAAATTCCGCTATGGCTCTCACCCGATCAGGATCTACCATGCATCCCTCTGACGTTAAAATATGACCCAGAGACTGAATTTTCTTTGCTGCAAACCTAAACTTCCTCAGTTTATATATTCATCTCCTCTATACTCTAACATGCAATTTAACCCCCTAATGAAACTAGCCACTGATGTCGATAATCCAAACGGAAGTACGCAAAAAAATGTTTGTCCCTCAAATAAAAAACCTGTATATTTGCGTGATTCTTGCTCTATCGGAATTTGCCAATACGAGGCCGTCATATCTAGCGTTGAAAATACCTGAAATTCGTAAATCAACTCACTCGGATTTGGCGGCATGACATGGTCTTTACGCATGCGTGAGTTGATAAACCTTGCATCTAAACCAACCCGGATTAAACCATCGTGTTTTTTAACAATAACCAACGGGCTGATATATTCCGTCTGACATGGAGTGATAACCCCCCAGTCCATCATTTCTTTAATATGTCGCCTAACCTCATCCCTATACACTCGCGGTACCGGATAACCCTTTTGCATAAACGGCGTTTCATCATGCATCTCAATTTTGGGCGAATAACAACTGATCAATCCCGGTTGATCAGAGAATATTGGCTGATATTCTAATAACAGCTTATACAATAACTCGACATTATTTGGGCCCAACTCATCTGCTTTATCAACTACTTCCCTGATTTTTTTCTCTGAATAGTTTTCTATCATTTTCTGACGGTGACCCCCCACATCTATAACATTATCATTTTCAGCATCAATCTCGCTGACTGTTAATCCAACATCCCCGTACTGTCACACCTGAACGTATACTCAAAATTGACATCACCAATTTGACCATTCAACTTACTATCACCGAAATCGATCTTAATTCCATTATCACTTAACCAGTCGCAGCCCAAGATAGTGTTCTTGATGAGCCCCGGTATGACCAAAAAGCTATATTCAAATGTATGACCCCCCAACTCCAAGGTTAGGTACACCTGCTCCCTGAATATTGTCGATTTGGCGCCTATAGCCCCCATCAAAGTAACGCACTTGCATGGAAATTTTGGGATACTCGCTTTTCCTTTCATTATTTCCACCAAAAACGTTTCGCTAACACCCGTAACCTGACTACCAGAGTCAACTAAACATTGTGTCGGAATACCTTCTACTTTTGCGGTTACAACCGGCAACACCCCAACCCGTTTCACCACTGGCTCGTTTTCCGTTCAGATTTCGTCCATATCCCTATTAAAAATTGTCGAAACTTCAGGACGATCCCCATTTTCCGTGTTTCTGACGTTTCTACTACTTTCCTCATTCCTGTTTCGCCAACTGGAATTTTCATGTCTACCCCCGTCGCGATTCCATTGACCCTGAGCATGATTCTCTCCCCGATTTTCTCTTACCTGAGCTAGATTTCTACTTCTGTTTCTAGGTTCGGCCATTTCCATTTCTAGCCTATCTATACGCCTCAAATAATCCTCTATATTCTCGACCGATTGATATCCCAAATTTATCAAACCCCTACGTATATCCGGTGGGAAATGTGCAATACACATTTCTAACAATTCCTTTTTTTCTAGAGGTATCGACAAATATTGCGATTCTCGGATTCTTTTCAAGAAATAATCAGCTCGTGATCCCCCCTCGTATACTCCGTACCTAATATGACTAAACATCTCTCTCCCTTTGTCAGATGACCAATATCTTTTTATAAATTCCTCCTTGAAATTGGGATAAGAGCAAAACCCTTTTATTTCTGCCCAATCCAAAGCTGAACCTTTTAAACAGTTTAAGGCAAAATACAAACGTTTCTCATCGGGTACGCCTGCCTCGTCAAGCAACGCCGACAATTTTCTGATAAAAACAACGGGTTGAAACGGCCCGTTTGGAGCAAAGTGTAAACTTGAACCCCCTAAATCTTCACTCATTGTGATATACACCCTAGGCACGATGCCACTGGTAGGAATTTGAGTATCAAAAGGAGTTGCCTGTGCATAAGACTGTTCAGGTACAGGCACCGTAATGTCTATTTTTTTAGATAAATCATTTATTTTTTGGTCTAATATCATCATCTTGTTACTCAAATTTGATGACAGTGACTGTACCATCGAGTCCATAACCTTACTTAAATGAACATTCAAATTATCAAAGGATTTAACTAAACAATCCTGTAATTTATCTATAGGATCCTCTACATAAGTTCCATCTATTTCCTCAGCCATGCTGGAATTTTGGCCCTTGTTGACCTTTATAGGCATTTTGACTAACTATAGTTCAAGAAAACTACACAAAATACATCAAAGCCTAAGCCTATAAACTACAAGCTACAAAGTAACAATTATTACTGAAGCCAAAAACCACAGTGTGCTATTTATTCTTCAGAATCTATAGTTCAAATCAGTTCTAAGTCAAATTCACTTTAGTGTCTTTAGACAACTGGCACAAAAAAAACTGGATACAAACTGGATAGTAGATAAACAGGAAGGCCTCTGCCTCCCGGTGCAAACAGCCACTCAAAATAAATGGAATGGGCTCACCATATAACGTGGTATTTTAAATACCCTTCCTCCTCCTTCCTGCACTAGCACTGGGTTGTCTCAAAACTTTTTCGGACCTGCTGATCACGATCCCGTGCCTCGTATGAAGAGACACGTTGAAAACTAACCGATGCAGATGGTTGGATAGCTCCAACCAACCGATAGTAATGTTTAATTTATTTTTCCTTTACACTCCGTCGCGAATATTATACTAAGTGACATATAAATCCGAACACCCAGTTGAAATGGTTTTATTTTAATAAAATTTTGTATAGTACTTAATGAAGCATAATAAGTAAATGATAAAAATTTCAAAATGATTGCACTGCTTTAAAGCCCTTTGACCTTTAATAATGTGTGGATACACCCTGATGTGCTACGCATTCTCCAACGCCTAGGCATGCTTCTGATCAGGTGGTCAATGTCCTCCTGTGGTATCTCATTCCAGGCAACCACCAACTCCTCTCGAAGTGCTTCTAGAGTCTGAGGAGGACGTTGCAAATTGAGCAATCTCCTACCCATCATATCCCACACGTGCTCAATTGGGGATAAGTCGGGAGATCTTGGTGGCCATGGTAACAATGTGACATCATTATGTTGAAAGAAGTCTATTGTGACACTTGCAACATGTGGTCGGGCATTATCTTGTTGGAAAGTTGGATCTGCCAGGGTGCCAAGATAGGGTAAAAGATGGGGTTCTAGAACTTCGTGGATATAACGCTGCGCGTTCATGTTACCTCTGATGAAGATTAAAGATGACCTGGAACCATAAGCTATAGCACCCCAAACCATAACTCCAACAGTGTGATGAACATGTCTTTCAACAAAAAACTGTGGATTCCTCCTTTCACCACGTCGCCTTCTAACCCTGGCACGACCATCGTGCATGCCTAAACAAAATCGAGACTCGTCACTAAAGACCATACTGTTCCATTCCTGATCCCAGAGTGACCGTTGTTTGCACCACTCAAGGCGATTACGTCGGTGTTCTCGAGTTAAAGGGAGGACCCAGTGTGGCCGGTATGAAAACAAGCCAAAACATCTCATTCGTCGGTAAACACTTCGCATGCCAATAGGTCTTCCGTGTTCTGCAAACCATTCATTTGCAATGGACCTGGTAGTGGAGAAACGGTCCCTTAAGGCCAATAATCTTAGGCGGCCATCTTCACGGTCTGTTGTTCTACGGCGGCGTCCAGTGCCCCTTGCTCTTTGCGTACGGCCTTCTCGAAGCCACGCCTGACAATACCTAACCACTTCTTTGCACTCTACAGGTCTTCGTACTCTAGGCATCGTAACCGATCGTAAAGGATGTCAAGAACCAAAATCCGCCAACGTTGATTCTTTACTGCGGCTGAAATATTCATTTTTAGAGCGTTAGTGAATTAAAAAAAAGCAGTATAAAAACCGGAATGTCCAACTGATAAGGCTGAAAATTTTTTCACTTACAGTAAGATAAATACATTCACCAACTTTTATTAAAATGAAACCATTTAAACTGGTTGTTCGGATTTATATGTCACTTAGTATATTTACGTCTCGCCGTGCTCCACGATGGGCGCTATTGTAACATTCCTCAGGTGTTACTGGGGAGACTCTTTATCATCAAGGGTAAGGTAACGGCTGAGACAATAGTACCATGATTAAGTTGTGAGACACTGTATTCACTGAACCCCTAAATATATAGACGTATTGGAAATAAGGAATCTTAATTCCAATATATAGAATTAATCAACTTAACAATATGTAGCCGCCTTCTGGCGCGCGCGACCCGCTAACCCTCTTGCTCGCACGCCACCGTCAGTCCCCCCTCTTTCACCTTCTTGTCCCGCGGGCAACGTCGACCGCGCACTGTTGCCGCTACCACCTATTTATCCACAACTCCACCACTAACTTAAACCTAGCCTGTCACAACTTAACAAACACTTTGCCAGATGACGACCAAACATTCCTTGGACCACACTGCTTTTTCGTCAAGCGTAGCAACTGATAAACCTCCTTGGATAGGTCCTCGTAGACAATATTACTGCCTTTCAACTTAGCCTTGTTAGCGGACATCACAGATTGTTTTAGCAATAAGGTAGTAAATATTACTAACAACACACGAGGTCCTGAGTTTCGTTCCGTGCCCTTAACCCTGAATACAGCATCAACATCCCTACTTTCACAGCTAACGTTTAAATACTGATCAAGAAAATCTATAAGAGTCTCCACAGGGTTTTCATTTTCATATTCTGTCAAGCCTAGTATTCTAACAGATCTTCATTTCTGCAACTGCTCTAAGTGATCAACTCTGGGCTCGAGGTTTTGTATCTTTTTGGTATTTTCAGTACAGTCAGATCTTAGTGTACCTAGAGCTCTAGACATCTCAGAAAGTCTGTCATGGATTTTCTCAAACTTTACATCAAATTTCTCTTCTAACTGGGAAGTAAATGTGGCACATACCTTAGTTATAAGCTGTTCAGTATTATTTGCACTTTCACATCCACTTATGTTATTACCCGTACGGCTTCTAGTAGCCATGACCACCGATTTATCGGTACGGAACAAAAATAAAATACTAACCAGCAGCTCAAATTGCAATTGACTGGATACTGTCTCACAAACCACCTATTTCCACCAAATCAAGGAACTACAACACGTCACCATATGAGTAACAATACTGTGATGCATTTTTTGAAAATAAACTGTTAACTTTAACCATAAAAAATTGGAATTTTAGCAGGAGCTCGCAACACACGTGTTTACACTGCCATCACTCGGAATATTATCTGTCGAAAAAGCAAAGACACAGAACGCAAATAGCTCCGGACGAGTCTGTAGAACAAAATGGGAATATCTCCTGTCCTTGACACAGTCTAATTACAGAACAAATGTAGAGTCACATAAGAAGGGAGCGGAGAAAATATTACTACGTCACGCCAGATATTAACACTTTACACACTTGGCAGCAAATTTTATTTTTAACCCTAGACTGCATAGGCAAAAATCGCACCTGTCGTTGCTTACTTGGGGTTACCTGTAACCCCATCTATATATTTCCCAAAAACATGGAAACAAACAAACAATAATAAATAAAGACTTTATATTGTAAAATAACATTACAAACTACAATACCTACTTTAAACAATCAGTGCATATTTCAACTCTATGTGTATTGCAAACGGCCTTAAAACATTTGGCACATGCAGTTTTTGTCTTCCGATCGTTGGCCCTTGGGCAGAGAGTGCAGCGCATTTGTTTCTGTAGTTTAGTTGGAGGTTGATCAACTGTCTTCTCTAGTTCCATGCCTAGAATATTTTTTATGGAAGATGTTAAACTTCGGGGTAGAGGTTTTGTTAAACGCCGCTCCATATGGGGTCTTGAAAGTTGCAACCCAAGTTCGAATAAATATTTTCTTCTGACGCTTTTTTGTCTGTCCTGCTTAGCAATTTGGAAAATTATATTAGAGTTAACCCCTGCTTGGTCCAGCATTCCATAAAAAAGCGCAGTGGCGAGAAACGGAACTAGCATGAACCATTTGGTCGAAGGTGTCGACTACTCCTTTGGTTGAATTGTAAAAATTTATAATCTCGGGCTTCAGATTTTCATCTACTACTTTACCAGTATGTATTGTAGATAGTAAAAGTACCGATTTAGATTTTTTAGGAGTAAACGATACTAAAGTTTTTTCATTATCGAATGCAAATTGGGATGTATTCACTTCTTTTTTTTTTGTTTGGAAGAAAAGATGGGGGAACTTCCCTTTTGTTTTTACGAAGAGTTCCCACAACTGTTAAATTAAAATCCGAAAGCATTTTGTCGGCTAATGGAACAGAAGTGAACCAGTTATCCATTGTTAACACGTTAACTGTCCATGAATCATATGAGATTCATTAGACGTGTTTGTCTACACGCCCTTGAATCATATATGATGCATTGTACTTGCTTTGCCTTATGATAAGTTAAAAATTGGACGTTATATTTAAGCAGCTGTTTATAGCATGGACGTATTAAGAAGATATTGAGTTTGAAATTTTTTTTCCAGGGCGCATCATATATGGTTCGAAGACGAATTTTTTGTGTTCGAAAAAATGATTCCAAAAGTCTTTTAATTACAACTTTATTAGAGGTTTAGCTTACAAAACAAAGGAACATGATTCTGAAAATACAACATAAAAATGATTAGTTCATTTCTGGTTTTTATTTTTATGCGTTACAGCAAAACAAGATAGACAAAATGGCTTATTACATATGGAACAGTAAGTATCTACTTGCTTAGTTTTTTTGGTAGCAAACTGGGTTCCATGTTCGCTATCGTTTTTTCTGTAGCATTCATGGCATCTTTTTCTTATAATTTTACCGTCGTCCTTTCTTGGTATTTTTGACATGAAGTGCTCACCAGTGGATGGTTCAGTCTGGGTTGTTGTTTTAGGTACTTCAAGAAGATCTTCAATTATTTCTTTTGTAAAAAGCAATAGAGCCTTTTTTTCCGTAGATATTTCGTTGTATAATAACCAACTATTAGTTACAACGGTGCCAAATATTAACTCAATTGCCACCTTTTTGTACCAAATCACGGACTTACGAACTGGTGAGTAGTAGCTACTTAGTTGATCCGATACATCAATTCCCTGCTTTCCTGAGTTGTAATCTAAAATGACTTTGGGCTTGGTTACAGAAACCCCTTCTTTATTTTTTCTCCCTGTATCTGCAATATCATTCCCATGGCAAGTTGATAACATGCAAACATCACGCTTATCATGCCACTTCAAAACTGTTATGTTGTCTCTTTGTCTAGCGATTATGTCCCCTTTTTTCAAATTGGTCTTAACAACTTCTTTTGGAACCCCCTTCCGATTTTTCCGTAGAGTCCCACAAAGATATGTGGAAACGACCTAGCAAATATTTAGCTAGAGGAATACTGGTGTAAAAATTATCAGTTATGATTAGCCGTCCTTCATTCAATAAGCCTTCAGCTAAATTTACTACAACAGATCCAGGCTTGTCTAACTCAGGAATTTTGGGATCATCTCCACAATAAATAGAAAAGGAATACGTAAATCCCTTTGTGGTGCATAATTTATAGATCTTTACACCATATTTGCTAGATTTTGAGGGGTTGTATTGTCTAAATTTTAACCTTCCTCTGAAAGGAATCATAGTTTCATCGATAACTACAATTTCACCAGCACAATATGTTTGCCTTATGTTTGAAAGCACCATATCTATCAAAGGCTGAACCTTGTATGTACGTGATTCATTATCCCTGTGGAGATTATTGTCAACAAAATGCCAACACTTTAGTAGTAGGGCAAATCTGTTATAAGACATATTTATTTTGTGAAGAAGTGGGTGGAAATATACTTGGCTTTTTTTCCAATAATATTCTATACGCGGAAAGTTTATTATTCCCGTAAGCATGATGAGCCCTAAAAACCTTTTCATTTCGGAGGTATCAGTATTTTTCCATCTCCGAAGTCTACTTGATCTTCGCAGTTGCCTATTGTTCAAAAATTGTTGAGCATATCTGTTAGTTTCTTGCACCATTAGCTCCAGAACTTCGTTATTTATAAAAGAAAGAAATATGTCCACAGGGTGCACATTACCATCAGAACCATCAAAGCGTATAATGTTTTTCAGAAGCCCTGATTTTCCAGTAAACTGATGTCGCTGCAACATCTTGACTGTACTTGACCACGGAATAGTGTCGAGATTATTGGGATTTGGAATATTATTGGCTATATCTTCATCGGACGCCACTGGAGAAGATCCATTACTATCGCTACTGTCATCACTTTCTGATCCAGAATTGCAGGTGAACGTTTCATCTGCTATACTGTCGTCACTATCGAAATCAGAATCATTCATGTCACTCATATTGTCAATTTCCTCCTGGAGTTCTCTATCTGTCAATGGTCTGCTGGAAGCCATTGCTGAAAAAAAAATTATTGCATGCCTCGTGAACCACACGGCTGAGGTAGAATTTCTATGAAATTTTCTAATTTATTTTGCAGCACATGTGAAGACTCAAAACTAAATATAAAAAGACTTTCCTGAAATAACTCACCATAAACTAAAAATAGGTAAGAATGGATTGAAATTGCGCCGTACGAAGTTCTACCTCCATACAATCAAATTCCAAATGTTTGTAGAAGGAAATAAATTCAACTGAACTTACCAAAATAGTCCTGTTATTAGCACTAACTGGGTTTAAATTCAAAGTAAACAAACTGCTAATCATGCCGCACTCATACCCCAATCGAAGAATGCCATTCCCAAAGTCTCTAAGTGTCAAATCTTCATAGACAAAATACGACAAGATTAGGTATCCTGGCAAAATAGATAAAACGCAGAGCTCTCATAAAGCTCTACAGTGGCGCTTGCGCGAGCGTGTGTCAAGCAAAGATAGCTATACCACCCAGAGTGATCTCCCGCATTTCACTTTTATACACAGAGCGGCCAATATCCTGCCTAGTCTAGCGGCAATATGTCTATGCACAAATCACTTGCTCGGGTATCATCGGACTTATGTTCACATATGATTCATGGACGTGAGACATATATTATTCTAACCAATACGTTCATGAATCATATGTGATCATGGAAGATGGAGGGGAGAGAGTGATGAGATTTTGTCTATAAAACATAGTTGAAAACACTTTGTAACGGAATATTACAAAAATATGTATACTAAGTGACATATAAATCCGAACACCCAGTTTGAATGGTTTTATTTTAATAAAAATAAAAGTGAATGTATTTATCCTACTGTAAATAACAAGTGACAAAATTTTCAGCCCTATCAGTTGGACATTCCGGTTTTTATACTGCTTTTTTTTAATTTACTAACGCTCTAAAAATGAATATTTCAGCCGCAGTAAAGAATCAACGTTGGCGGATTTTGGTTCTTGACATCGTTTACGATCGGTTACGATGCCTAGAGTACGGAGACCTGTACGATTTCGTCAACTTAGTGAGTTTGATAGAGGCCGTATAGTGGGACTTCGGGAAGCTGGACTTTCTTTTCGGGCAATTGCAGTTAGAGTGCAAAGAAGTGTAGACACTGTGGTTAGGTGTTGTCAGGCCTGGCTTCGACAATGCCGTACGCAAAGAGCAAGGGGCACTGGACGCCGCCGTAGAACAACAGACCGTGAAGATCGCCGCCTAAGATTATTGGCCTTAAGGGACCGTTTCTCCACTACCAGGTCCATTGCAAATGAATGGTTTGCAGAACACGGAAGACCTATTGGCATGCGGAGTGTTTACCAACGAATGAGATGTTTTGGCTTGTTTTCATACCGGCCACACTGGGTCCTCCCTTTAACTCGAGAACACCGACGTAATCGCCTTGAGTGGTGCAAACAACGGTCACTCTGGGATCAGGAATGGAACAGTATCGTCTTTAGTGACGAGTCTCGATTTTGTTTAGGCATGCACGATGGTCGTGCCAGGGTTAGAAGGCGACGTGGTGAAAGGAGGAATCCACAGTTTTTTGTTGAAAGACATGTTAATCACACTGTTGGAGTTATGGTTTGGGGTACTATAGCTTATGGTTCCAGGTCACCTTTAATCTTCATCAGAGGTAACATGAACGCGCAGCGTTATATCCACGAAGTTCTAGAACCCCATCTTTTACCCTATCTTGACACCCCGGCAGATCCAACTTTCCAACAAGATAATGCCCGACCACATGTTGCAAGAGTCACAATAGACTTCTTTCAACATAATGATGTCACATTGTTACCATGGCCACCAAGATCTCCCGACTTATCCCCAATTGAGCACGTGTGGGATATGATGGGTAGGAGATTGCTCAATTTGCAACGTCGTCCTCAGACTCTAGAAGCACTTCGAGAGGAGTTGGTGGTTGCCTGGAATGAGATACGACAGGAGGACATTGACCACCTTATCAGAAGCATGCCTAGGCGCGTTGGAGAGTGCGTAACACATCAGGGTGCATCCACACATTATTAAAGGTCAAAGGGCTTTAAAGCAGTGCAATCATTTTGAAATTTTTATCATTTACTTATTATGCTTCATTAAGTACTTATACAAAATTTTATTAAAATAAAACCATTTAAACTGGGTGTTCGGATTTATATATCACTTAGTATATGTGGCATAATGGACGTGTTGGTGGAATCCAGAGAATATGCTTGGACAGTTAACGTGTTAAGTTACGTCCTGTTCCGTGAATGGACTCTGATAACTTTTTTACATAGTAATCTGGGAGCGGTTCTTTATTTGGCCGGTGCTCTTTGCCAATATATGGTATAGCTGATATCATATAAAAAGTCCGCGAATCGCACATTGTCACAATCTTTAGACCATATTTATCTGGTTTTGAGGAGATGTAGACTCTAAAGGGACAATTGCCGCGAAATCCTAGTAACTGTTCACCAACCGTGCAGTAACTATGAGGAGTATAGTGTTGAGTACATCGAGATATAAAGATCTCCCATAAATTGCGAATAGGTGAAAATTTATCGTCGCGGTTTCTTACTGTCTTATCGTCAAATCTGAGACATGAAATAAGAAATCTAAATTAAGCAACAGTTAAACAAAAATGAACAAAAGGAACTTAAAAACAACTTGTTGGTTCAAGGAATTCCATACAAAGAAAACGAGAACTTACCTGACATTATAAATAAAATTGGCAATTACCTTGACGTCCCGAATGGAAACAGGCTTACGACTTTTCGATTGAGCAGGGATAACAATAAAAACAACCCTGTTAAAGTCATCTTTGAAGATGAATCAACCAAAATAAAATTTTTAAAATCAAGAAAGAAGTTTGGCCTTAAAAGTTCGGATTTGGGATATACGACAGATAATAAAATATTTCTCAACCATGAACTCACAAAAGAAAATCTTGATTTATCCATGGCAGCCAAGGCTTTTAAGAAAGACAGAAATTATAAGTTCCTTTGGATTGGAGATGGTAATATCCTCCTAAGGAAGGACGAAAACTCAAAAGTTCTTTGTATTAGTAATAAAGGTCAGTTGGAAAACTAGTAAGGCCTCGTGAACAACTAAAAATTGCTTACATGAACTTGCAAAGTATTAGAAATAGACTGGATCTGGTGCAGTCTTTGGTTGTAAGTGAAGATTGGGATATACTGTTGGCGGCTGAAACATGGTTGGAAGAAAGTGAAACATTCTTGTTTGAGTTGGATGGCTATAATGCTGTTCATTCCTTCAGGGCTGGTAGAGGAGGTGGTGTGTCTATCTATGTGAGGAAATCTATTAAATTTCGTGAAATTGAGAAGTCAAACAGATGTGAGTTAATAAACTGGATATGTATTAGCTTAGGGGAACAAAACTTAAAAATTAGTGTTATATATAAACCACCATCTGTAAATAGTAAAAAATTTTTTCATTGTTTGGAATCTATTATGCGTACTCATCCTAAAAATCATTTAATTGTTGGGGATATGAATATTAATTTGCTAGAAGTCTCACAAGTAGCCAAGGAGTACAAAGATTTAATAGCATTAAACAGTTTTAAAATTAATAATACGATAAATGAGGAGTGTGCTACTAGAGTTAGCAGTTCGTCAAAATCTGTTATAGACCATGTTCTTAGCGATTATGGTAGTAATGTAAGTTGTAGAGTCAGTGTTAAAGAAAATGCAATTTCGGATCATAAACTTATATTACTTGATATTAAAACATCTGTGCAGTTCCATAAACCAAAAGTTGATTATGAGGTAAAATCTGTATAGATTATAAAAAAATGTGTAAACTTATTTAGACATAAAATTTTAAGCAAAAATGTAACAACTTTTCAAGAATTAATTAATTTAATTGAAGACTGCAAAAGTAAATCGGTATATATAAAAAAATTAAGAATACGTACAAATGACACCTGGATAAATAATGAAGTCCTTGAGCTTATCAAAAAAAAGAGATAAATTATATAAAAGAAAGATTAACCAACCAGAAGGCTTAACTATCATCTCTGAATTTAAAAACATCAAAAATAAAATAATAAAATACGTGCTTTGAAGAACCGTTATTTCCAAACTAAATGGAGCTTAGCTGGAAACAATGTAAAGAAACAATGGGCTTTTATAAACAGCCTAATAAAAAATAAGGAGTATAAAGTAAGAATTGATCAACTAGTAACTGAAAATAACATTACTAACACTCAACTTGATATTGCAAACAATTTAAATAAATACTTTTCTCGGGTCGGTGGATCAATTGTTGAAAATTTGGAAGCAGAGATCCAGCAGTTGAATGAGTTTATTTCTGTTGGTGAGGTTCACAACGAAGATTCTATTTCGATAACATTGACTAATAAAGAAGAGTTGTTGGAAGTTGTGAAAGAACTAAAAATAAACTCAGCACCTGGATATGACGGTATCACGGTTAAGGATGTACGTAATCTTGGAGAATACTTAATACCTGTTTTAGTACGATTAATCAATGAAACTATACAAAAAGGAATATTACCATCAGAATTGAAAATAATTAAAATAACCCCACTTTTTAAGTCGGGAGATATTAAATGTATGAACAATTACAGGCCTATTTCAGTGGTGTGTGTATTCTCTAAGATTATAGAAAAATTAATAAAAAAAAGAATGTTATCTTTCATTGTTACTCACAATATATTGATTGATGAATTTCAATATGGTTTTATAACGAACAGTAGCACACTTAGTGCGGTTGTTGATTTTGTGGACTACATTTCAATGGCTCTAGATAAACAACAAATAGTTGTAGCTGTTTTCATTGACCTAAAAAAAGCTTTTGACGTAGTAAGCGTAGACATTCTTTTAGATAAATTGTTTAAAATGGGATTTAGAGGTGTTTCGTACAGCTTGATTAAGTCTTATTTATATGACAGAAAACAGTACATAAAGCTTGGAGACATTGATAGTGAATGGTTATCTAGCACCTATGGAGTACCACAGGGGTCAGTTCTTGGACGTCTGTTATACAGTCTTTATGTACTGAATCTCAAGTTGGCCAATCTGAGGGGAAGATATTTTACCTTTGCAGATGACACTGTACTGGTATATACTGGAACAGACGAAATTGCTTTAACGAATCTTATTAATGATGACCTGAATAGTTATCTTAAATGGCTGTTTTCGAATAGATTAAAAATTAACATTGAAAAAACAAAATACATTATATTTAAACAAAAAAATAAGATAGTTAGCAATAATCTAAATATTAACATAAATAATATAGCGCTAGAAAAAGTGTCAAGTATTAAATATTTGGGACTACTAATAGATGAAAGTTTAAATTGGTCACTTCACGTAAATGGAATTTGTGATAAAATAGTTTCAATGCTATCTGCCTTATATAAGAGTCGAGATTATTTGTCCAACAAAAGCAAATTTCAAATTTATAATGCCTTCTTTCTTACACATTTTAGGTACCTCTTGCCAGTATGGGGTATGTGCGGTAAAGTTAATTTTAATAAAGCTCAAGTTTTACAAAATAAAGTTCTGAAAATATTGTTTAATTTTGATTGGCTTACAAGTTCTAATACACTTTATTCAAATTTAAATTTAAACAAATTAAGAGTGTTATTGGAGGTGGAACAATGTAAACTTGTTTATAAAATTATAAATAATCTACTAAAAAGTAACATAAATATTAGGTTCTACCATAACGTGCATGATCACCAAACAAGATCACTAAATAATGTTTATCAAATTTCCACAAGAACTAACATAGGTTTAAAAAATCCGATCACAGACGCAATTAAGAAATTTAATAATTTACCACATTGTATAAAAGA